AACTCATTCAATGTAGGGTATACGTGAAACCTGAAGTAGTCAATACCTCTGCAGCATAACCAGGGCTTGGCAGTTCTGGTACTTTTTACAATCTACTGCTGCTAAAATATGAACTATTCCTGCAAAATTTGAACCACTCCAGTGATCCAAAAATCAAATTGAAGTCTTCCCAATTACTGTAGCAAAATTACTATAGTACTCTAGTTCTACTGGCTTACTACCAACTAAATAAACTCGGTGTCGTTCGAGGTTCTTTCAATCAGCGAGGCCCGCCATTTCCATCTTCCTGATCTAGCTGCGATTGTGCTTTAAGAGCATCTGCATCTCCGCTTGATAATTGTCCGTGCTTGTTCTAAGTGCACTCATAACGAACGCTCCCGCCGAGAACACACGCTCCTGGAAAGCATTAGACGGACTCCTCCCCAACCAAACACGTGTGAGTGCTGCAATCGGCAGGAACGTTGCCACTCCTGTGTCATGTACTTGCAGAGAGCCTGCAGGTTTCAGCAAACCGCGTCCATGCTCCGTACCTGAAGTAGCGTGGTGAACACCTCCGCTGTCCTCTTGTCGTTCGACACTTGCTGAACGACGGCTCGGATCCAGTTCACAGTGTGCTTGTGCCTCTTCTTGAGCACTTCGTTGGCTTGGTCGTGATGACTTGCTACAAGCGTCGTCGTTGTCACCGTACCAATCAAAGGCGCGCCACACATCACCATCACGTTACCAGCGGACGGCATCAGATCCAGATTTGGCTGCGTATCCACCTCTGCATCCATGGTGTTACTGGAATCGACTGCATGCATCGCACAGAAGACCTCTGTGTGTGGGTTGCGCAAGATCTCCTTACCCTCGTTTATGACATTTTTCATTGCAGTGGCCGCTGCGTCGTCCGAAACGTCATCAGACGTGGTGGTATCTTCGAGAGCGGCGGGTTCGATGAGGATTTCCACCGTGAACTTCGTGGGGGAAACCACAGATTGACCGCCGATTCGGCTGAGAGTGTGGGCAGCCCCTTTACGACCTATCCCTTTATCCGGTTAACGCCGATCTTTGCCTCTGTAGAGAATGTGTCCACGTGAGCGGCATGATGTGGAAATGAGTGCTCGTTGGTCTTAGGTGATCTAGAGGCTTCTAGATCGTAGACCTAGTATATATAGGCTGCTAGACGGTCGTAAACTTTAATAGAATGGTAAGCACTGAGAAAACTTGGTTGCTGCGCTGTACTTCAATCAGCGCTAGATCGGCCAGCAACTGTGTTACACCCTCCATATCCCCCAATAATCTCCAATCAGCAAAAGTGAGTTTGATGAACACGTCTTCGTCGTCGTAAGATTCGCACTACTGGAAATACGCCTTGGTGGCGGAGTGGTTGATAATGGTGCGTTGAAACAGAGTGACGGAGGGCACAAAGCGTGTGTCACAATCGACAATGGTGCTCAACTCAGGTAGACCGTAAAACTTCTGCACCTTGGCGAGGCGTTCCACTTTCTGGGGCGAGTTGATGTAGATGTTTAGGTTCCTCACCTTCCTGATTGGCTGTACCTTCTGGAAATGGGCCACCAATTGTACACACACACCGCTCCATCTTCAGCTTGTTGGGCTTGGGGCCCAGCACACATCGTCTAGTAGTTTTCACGCATGCCCATACCATACTCGAGGCACAGGTTCAGGACGCGCTTGGTGCAGTCCGTCGGAAGCGACTCTTCGAACAACTTTGAGACCTTCCGGGCACTCGGCGTGGTGTCCGACATAGTAAAAGGGGCCATTGGCTCGATTTCAACCCGATAGATTACTGCAATCCTTGACGTGATAAGCACCTTGATCGTGAATGAAGTGTGCGACCCATTATGCACTGTAACCAACAACGCGATGTCACAGAACTCCCAGTTCTGGTTGATGAAACTCGCCAACGAGACCCTTCTTACCGCTGCCGGTGGTGCAGGTGTCGTGCAACACATTCATAAACGGTAAGTAGTAAGCAGCCTTGAGCTCCTCTTTGAGCATCCGCTCCGTTAGAAAGCAGAACATTTTTAATCTTGCCTCCTGCATGTTGCAGTAAGCGTGTAACGGAGTTACAACTCCGTTATACATGTATATAGT